ATCCACCCACCTCGGCCTCCCAAAGTGCTGGAGTTACAGGCATGAGTCACCACACCCAGCCCAAACAATCCAATTTTAAAAGGAGCAAAAGATCTGAATAGCGATATCATCAAAAAAAATGGGTCAGACACAGTGGCTCATGCTTGTAATCCCACCACTTTGGTAGGTCAACAGAGGAAGATCGCTTGAGCCCAGGTGTTCAAGAGTAGCCTGGGCAATGCAGTGAGACCCCCATCTCTACAAAAAATAAAAATTAAAAATTAACCTGGCATGGTGGTATGCACCTGCATTCCCCATTCCCAACTACTCAAGACGCTGAGGTAGGGGGACTGCTTGAGCCCAGGAGGTCAAGGCTACAGGGAGCTCTGGTCGCACTACTGCACTCCAGCCTGGGCAACAGAGTGAGACCCTGTCTTTTGCCCATTTATGCCAAGAGTTCCATTATTGGAATGCTAAACTTGTGAGAATTATTAATATCCTACTGCTCAAGGTAATCGCCAAGGTCTGATTTTTCACCAAAAAAAAAAAAAATTGCAACTTTAGAGACATAAATAGGTCAAGAAAAAAGACACATGAAAAGATGCTCAATACTATGAGTCATAAGGAAAATTAAAATTAAAATCACAATGACGGCCGGGTGCGGTGGCTCACGTAATCCCAGCACCTTAGGAGGCCGAGGCGGGCGGATCACAAGGTCAGGAGATCAAGACCACGGTGAAACCCCGTCTCTACTAAAAATACAAAAAATGAGCCCGGGGCCGTGGGCGGCACCTGTAGTCCCAGCCCTACTCGGGAGGCTGAGGCAGGAGAACGGCGTGAACCAGGAGCGAGCTTTCAGTGAGCCAGAATCGCGCCACTGCACTCCAGCTTGGGCGACAGAGCGAGACTCCGTCTCAAAAAAAAACAAAACAAACAACAACCAAAAAAATACAAGACTCCACTAAACAGAGAAAAAAAAAAAAAAAAAACAACAAATTCCCAAACAGACAGGCACCATGCTTCAGCCTGGTAATCCCTAGCACTTTGGGAGGCCAAGGCCGGAGGATTGCCTGAGCTCAGGATTCGAGACCAGCCTGGGCAACATGGTGAAACCCCGTCTCCACTAAAAATACAAAAAATCAACTAAGCATAGTTGTGCTCAGCTGTAATTCCAGCAGCTTGGGAGGCTGAGGCATGAGAATTGCTTGAACCCAGGAGGGAGAGGTTGCAGTGAGCTGAGAATGCGCCACTGCACTCCAGCCTGGGCGACAGAGTGACTCAAAGACAAACAAACAAATTCATATCCATTAGAACAGCTATAATTTTTTGAAAAGACAATAGTAAGTGTTGGCAAAGATATGAAGAAAACTGGAACTCTCAAACATTGCTGTTAGCAATATAAGATGTTACGGCCACTTTGGGAAACAGTTTGGCAGTGTCCTAAAAAGCTAAACATATGATGCTGTAATTCTACTCCTAGATAGCTAACCAAGAGAAACAAAACCATATATTCACATAAAGACTTGTACTCAAATGTTTGAGTATTATTCAAAAGAGTCAAAAACTGGAAATAATCGAAACACCTATATACTGGTCAACAGTTAAAGTGTGTTACAGTAATCTCCCCTAACCTACAGCTTTACTTTCCAGTTTCAGTTACCCACAGTCAAACATGTTCTAAAAATGATAAATGGAAATTTTCAGAAATAAACAATCTATGTTTTAAATTGTGTGCCATTCTGAGTAGCACGATGAAAACTCATACCATGCCACTCTGCCTCGGATGTGAATCATCCCTTTATCCACCATATTCACGCTGTCTACACTACCTGCTTAGTGGCCATCTCAGCTATCAGATCAACTAGTATCGTAGTGCTAGTGTTCAAGTAACCCTTATTTTACTTAATAATGGCTCAAATGCTCAAGAGTAATGAGGATGACAATTTGAATATGCTAAAGAGAAGCTGTAAAATACTTCTTTTAAGTGAAAAAGTGAAAGTTCTCAATTTAATAAGAAAAAAAACTTTATGCTGAGTTTGCTAACATCTACAGTAAGAAATCTTCCATCTATGAAATTGTGAATAGCATATTGTTGTAACTATTCTATCATACTGTTTTTAATCTCTTATTATGCCTGATTAACAAATTAAACCAGGTATACAGATATAGAAAAAAATATATAAGATTCAATACTACCTGAGATTTCAGGCATCCACTGGGGGTCTTGGAATGTATGCCACATAGATAAGGGGGGGACTATCATATACTTATACAAAGAAATACTATTCCAAAATAAAAAGGAACAAAAAACTGATAAATGCTACAACATGAATGAATCCCAAAAACATTATGTTAAGTGAAAGAAGCCAGATACGAAAGACTACATATTGTACAATTCCATTTATACAACTCCAAAATATCCAGAAAAAGCAAATGGATTAAGACAAAACCAATCAGTGATTGCCTGAGGCTGGGGCTGGGAATAAGGGTTAACTGCAAACAGGCTGGAGAGAATTTTGGAGGCAATGGAAATGTTCGAAAACTAGCTCAAGGTGATAGTTTCACAATTCTATATATTTACTAAAAAGTATTGAATTATATACTCAAAATGGATAATTTTTTTGGTATCAGGTAAGTCAAAAGCTAATTTATTAAAAAGTGTACATACCCAAAGAAATGACGTCTACACAAAAACACGAATATTCATAGCAGCATATAGCCCAAAAAAATAGAATCTTAAATGTCCATCAACTGATGCAGAGATAAATAAAATGTAATATATCCCTAAATAGAATATTACTCAGCAATAAAAAAAAAAAAGTGACTATAGGCTGGGTGCAGTGGCTCATATCTGGAATTCCAGCACTTTGGGAGGCTGAGGCGGGTGGATCACGAGGGTCAGGAGATCGAGACCATCCTGGCTAACACAGTGAAATCCCACCTCTACTAAAAATACAAAAAATTAGCTGGGCATAGTGGCACGTGCCTGTAGTCCCAGCTACCTGGCAGGCTGAGGCAAGAGAATCACTTGAACCCGGGAGGCGGAGGTTGCAGTGAGGTGAGATCGTGCCACTGCACTCCAGTCTGGGCAACAGAGCGAGACTCCGTCTCAAAAAAAAAAAAAAAGTGACTATAAAAAATTTTTTTAATTAAAAAGGACCAGGTAAAGTGGCTCACACCTGAAATCCCAGCACTTTGAGAGGCCAAAGTGGGAGGATTGCTTGAGCCCAGGAGTTCAAGACTACCCTAGGCAATATGGTGAAACCCCATCTCTATAAAAAAGAAAATAGATTGGCTGGGCACAGTGGCTCACCCCTGTAATCCTGGCACTTTGAGAGGCCGAGGCGGGTGGATCACGAGGTCAGGAGATCAAGACCATGCTGGCTAACATGGTGAAACCCCATCTCTACTAAAAATACAAAAAAAAAAAAAAAAAAAAATTAGCCGGGTGTTGTAGCATACACCTGTGGTCCCAGTTACTCAAGAGATTGAGGCAGGAGAATAGCTTGAACCAGCAGAGGTTACAGTGAGCCAGATCGTACCACTGCACTCCAGCCTAGGCGACAGAGCGAGACTCCGTCTCAAAAAAAGAAAAATAAAAAAAGAAGAAAACAGATGAAATTAAAAAAGAAAAAAAAAAGAAATGAAGTACCGACACATATTACAACATGGATATACTTTGAAAGCATTATGCTAAGCGAAAGAAGCCAGTCACAAAAGACCACATATATGGTTTCATTTATATAAAATGTCCGGAATAGTCTAATCTATAAAGATAGAAAGTCAATCAGTGGTTGCATAGGACTGGAGTGCTGAGGGAAAATGAAAAGCGACTGCTAATGGATATGGGGATCTTTTGGGGGATGATTAAAATGCTCTAAAATTGATTATAGTGATGGCTGCACAACTTTGAATATACAGTCGGCCCTCCATATCCATGAGTTCTGAATCCATGGATTCAATCAATGAGGTACAGAAACTACTCAAAAAAAATTGTCTGTAAATGAACATGTAGAGACTTTTTTCCTGATCATTATCCCTAAACAACACACAGTATAACAACTATTTACATAGCATCCACATTGTATTAGGTAGTATAAGTAATCTGGAGATGATTTAAAGCATACAAGAGGATATGCATAGTTTATATGCAAATAATATGCCGTTTTTATTTCTTCATTTTTCCTAAGAGACAGAATTTTGCTCTGTCACCCAGGCTGGTGTCCAAACTCTGGTCTCACGAGATCCTCCCACCTCAACCTCCTGAATAACTGGGATTACAGGCACAGGCCACCGCATCCAGCAACTATGCCATTTTACTTTAGGGACCTGAGCATCCATAGATTCTAGTATCTGAGAAAGGCCCTAGAACCAACCCCCAACAGATACCGATGGACAACCGTACTTAAAAACCACTGAATTGTTCACCTGCAAAATGGAGTAATTTTTTTTAAAAAAATTAATTACTAAGCCCACTAAACTGTACACTTTAAACTGAACTGACTCGTATGTGAATTATATCACAATGACGTTGTTACCCCCTCCAAAAATGGTATACAACATGAGCAGGTAAAGCCATTAACATTAGCAAGACCCTACAGGCCACAGGTACCAATCTGTTTACTTAGGATAGAAAAATCCCAAAGTTACAAATCCTTTCCAACCATACTCAAGCTATTTTGTAAATGAGTATTTATGTCTGAAATAAGAGACAATGATTAATCCAATGAGTTAAATCACTAAACTTAAAAATAGGTTGACATAAATATTCAAATTTCAAATGCCCAGGATAGTCCAATTTTTTTTTTTTTTTTTGAGACAGGATTTTGCTCTTGTCGCCCAGGCTGGAGTGCAACGGCCGATCTCGGCTCACTGCAACCTCCACCTCCTGGGTTCAAGCAATTCTCCTGCCTCAGCCTCCTGAGTAGCTGGGATTATAGGCGCCCGCCATGGCGCCCGGCTGATTTTTGTACTTTTGGTAGAGATGGGGTTTCACCATATTGGTCAGGCTGGTCTTGAACTCCTGACCTCAGGTGATCCGCCCACCTCTGCCTCCCAAAGTGCTGGGATTACAGGCGTGAGCCACCACGCCCTGCCTGATATTCCAATTTTCCATTTCATGTGTTTAACTACTAGTTATCATCTCAACAATATTTACATGAATATACTGTGTACACTGTAATGCTCTATAAAAAGTTTTATTATTCCTAAACTCCCATAAATGTAATTTAATGGTTTCCAGTCCTATATAAGTCATTCTACCTTTTGAAGAAACTCCGAAACACAAATATCCAATCCTTTGTTAGTAAAGCATACATCCTTCTCTGATTCTGGCACGAAAGAAAGTGCATAATTTACTTCTGGATAGAGAGTCACAGATAAAAAGGAAAGCAAATCTGATTATCAAACACACGATTACTGTTCTCTCATCACCGGATTAAAATTTAAACCATTAAGCTGAAGTAAACGTTCATGAACATATGAAAGGGGGGAATTTTTAACAGTTTTACAATGACGCGTCCTCCTCTTCCTCATTTAATGAAGTACTAAGAACTTAAAGGCCATTCTACAGCGAATCTGGCTCCTAGAAAGAGTCCATCCAGGATGCTGAGAGAGGGAAAAGATTAGAAACTGTGCGATCTGGACTATTCTTGGTGTTACGGAGTATTTTTTCGGTCCTTTATGGACATGGAATAAAAATGCCCAAAAGGAGCAAGAGAGAGGGCTCGGCTGCCCTGATCACAAAGCTCCTGGGGTAGAGTCAGCATCCAGCCCTGGCAGAGCCCTCGCCGTCCTCCTTCCGCGCCCCTAGACCATCCCGTCGCGCAGTCCCTGAGGGCCAGCTTCGCGAGGATCCAGAAGGCAGTCGCTGGACGTGCGTGTTACGAGCCCGTTTTTGTTTTGTTTAAGAAACAGATTCCGATCTGAGCCAAGCCTCCCTGCCTCCCGGGGAACAGGGGGAGATGGCAGCAGGGTGCCGGCGTGGAGAGCGAGAATAAAAGAACGGCCGAGTACAACCTGTCGTGCAAGCTAGCAGCGCCAGGAAGGAAAGGTAAGCGGCGGCGATAAGGCACGACAGGGAAGGAAACTGGAGTCCAGCACCCGCCCTCAACCCAGTCACCCAGAGCGGCCGGAGCCTCCCAGGTCCCGCCCCGAGCTCGCGCCCAGCCCCGGCGCCGGCCGCAGACTCCCGCCCTACACAAACCCTCCCAGGACGCGCTTCCTCCGGAGCCGGACCCCCGCCCTGGCCTCCTGGCGGGATGAGGCGGGTCAGTTCAGTCCGCTTCTCGGCAGAGGTGACTCGCGCAGAGATGTAAACACGGCGAGACCAGCTGCGCTCGGCCCATCCCCCGCGCCGGGGTCTGTAACCTCTTCCCTCAGCCCTGCCCCGCGCCCCGCGCTCCCCGCGGGCAGGCGCTCAGCGCGCCTTCTCCTTTCTCCAAGTCCCGCTCTGCGACCGTTGCCCGGGGACACTCAGCCCCCTTCCCCCAGCCCCCGGCCGGTGTCACCGCCACAGCCGCCGGAAAACCCCTCCGCATACCCCGAAGCAAACAACACAAGCGCGGGGCGGGGGCGCGGAGGGAGGCGGCGGCACTCGGGACAGCTAGGCTTTATCGCCGCGCCCTTCGCGGTCCCTCTCACCAGCCTCGGCTGCCCGCGCTCTTACCTGCTCTCCGCGACGCCTGGGAAGACCGCGGCGTCCTTTTCCCTCTCAGCAGGGCCGCGGACTAGCAGCCGCCGCCGTTGGCCGAGCGTCCGGAGGGAGCCGGGGCCTCCCTAGCAGCCCAAGCCGCTCCACAGGGAGAGGAGGAGACAAAACAGAGACTCGCCGCCCCGCGCAGCGACCCCCGCCCGCGCCGCCCCACCGACCCCCAACCGCCTAGGCGACGGCGGCGACACAGAGCTCGGCGCGGGGAGCAATGGTGGCCCCCGCCCCGCTCCCGGCCCCCTCCCTCCACCCCCCGCCTCGGCTCCTCCCCCTCGGCCTCCTGCCGCCGCCACCAGGACACTGGAGTCCGCCTCCCCCTCCCCGCCAGCTCAGAGCGCTCCTCCCCTCCCCACGCGGCGGGGGGGCGGGGGCGGCACCGCCAGTCACCGCAGCGCCTGTCAAACGCGGGCCGGCTATTTATACCCCGCGGGGCCCCGCCGCCCTCAGGCCCCCACCAGCCCGCCGAACCTGCCTCTTTTGCTCTCTTGAATCCCGCCCTCCTCTCCTCGCCCAACTTCTCCCAAACCCGCCTTCCCAGGTAAAGACGCTCGTCACTTGTCCGGCTCCCTGCCCGGGGCTCCCCGATCTCGCTCTCCACTCCAGCCCCGGATTGATGCAGGGGGCTCTGCCGCACGGGGCAGGCGTGTGAGGACTACGGGGCCGCGCGTGCACCTGCAGCGCCCGCCGGCTTCCCCCAGCCGGCCGGGACCGCACGCGCACACCCTCGCCACTTAGGGGCCCCGCAGGCCCCGCCGTAACTGCATCCCCAACTCAGGACTCCCGCCCTTCTCCTCCGGAGATGGCCCCAGAGTCGGGCAGTCTGACAGTTAGGGGGAGCGAGGTTTTGCAAAAACTCCTAGCCCGGTCCTTCCAGTCCCCACTCCTCAGCCTTGGCTAAGTGAAAGGTGGGGGTTCGGGCAAGAGCGCTACGCCGGCCAGGAGCGCGACGCCGGCCCCGCCCCGGCCGGTGACGCACGTGGCGCACCGCCCCGCCAGCCTCGCGCCCCTCGGCGCCGCCAGCTCCTCCTCCCCGCTAGCAAAAGCCCGGCGTAGTACACCCGCGACCCCGCCCCATTCCCAGAAATTACCACCCGCCCAACAGCCCGGCCGCGAGGCGGTTGGTGCCGGCGTTTGCTGGCGGTCGGGTGGCGGGGCCCAGCGCGCAGCTGCGGAGCGCGGCGGGCGGCCCCTTGGCGCTGCCCGGGGAGCTGCGGGCACCCGCACCGAGCCATTGTCGCTCCTTGCTCGGTCAGCAACGGAGAAGTAACTCAAGTCTGAGTGTTGTTGGTGCGAGAATGAGAGTGTTTTGGTGAGGGAGTATTTTGGCCCAAGTGCCTGCGAATTCGAAAACGAAAACCCAGCAGTAGCTGCAAGCTTTTGGTTTCCACACTTTCACACAAAGGGGAGCCTTCGAGCGGGGCACTCTCACGCGCCTTCAAGTGCACAAAAGCCAATGACACGGTGCCCTGGGTTGCCTTGCGTAGGAGCGTCTCTTTAATGGGCTTTCTTAGCCACAGTTAATGCATACAAACGCCTCAGTCTATTCCTTCACCCCCACCGTTCTCCGCCCCAGCGTTTTCTGTATTTGTTTCTTTAACAAAGCACTGCCTGTCCCGGTGCGCGCGGGGCTGATTTTGCTTCTCTCCCGGGCTCCTGCAGCCTCGCCGCGATGAACCTGGCACCTGACGCGGTATTCACCAGCTCCTTTCTGGGCTCCAGCGTTACCATTTTTACGGCTTCACAACCAGTCTGGAGCAAAGAAGGAACCCCGAGGAATGTAAGTGATAGCTGTTCTCTTGAAAGGGACGTTGGAACCCTGGAAATCACCCTAGAGTAAGGCTCAAATGTCAGAAAGCTGCAGGAGGCTCCAGGTTTAAATCCCTGAAGAGCCTAACAATGTAATGATCTCTTTCTTTTTTAATATTGTCGTTGCCTCTATTTTCTTGGGGGTGAGTCTTCCCTTCCTGTCTTAAAAAGCAACTCTGAGCTGGGCGCAGTGGCTCACGCTAGTTATCCCAGCACTTTGGGAGGCCCCGGAGGGTGGATTGCCCGAGGTCACGAGTTCGAGACTAGCCTGGCTAACATGGTGAAACCCCGTCTCTACCAAAAATACAAAAACTAGCCCGGCGTGGTGGCACACGCCTGTACTCCCAGCAACTCTGAGGGCTCCTATTCTTATTTAAGAATTTTTTACTCTTGAACACAGGGGAAACCTGGAGACCGTGAGTGTTAATCAAAGATCCTCTTAACTCTTGACAAAGTTTTCTGGATTCCTGAGTTCTAAATCATAGGACTATCGACACCCTTTTGAACTAAAGAATATGTAAAGCTTTGGTAACATTAAAATCTTTAATACACAATAAACAGGATTCTGCAAACATAGCACCCTTTCTAAGGGAGTCTTTATCTCACTTCTTGTAAAATAACTTATCACTTATGGGAACCATTGCCCACTTTGATATTTGTAGGGAATTAATTAATAATAATATTGCATCTTCATAACATAACATAACATAGCATACTAAGGAGCCGGCAAAGACAAAGCCTGATTCCTGTTGTTAGGGACAGATATCACCTGCCGAGTCATGTCATTTCTGTTGTCAGCCACGTTGAGAAGAAAGTCTCTCCCACTGCCAATTGGCAATAAGTCGGAAAGTCCCAGGTGGATAACAGTGGTAGATAACATTATTGTTCCCAATTTTTCACTACTCCATGCATGCATGCCCTTTGAAATACAGCTTTGTAGTTCCTCTCAGTAGAGATAGGATGTTTCTCCACCCTGTTCATGTTGGGCTTAGATCAGTCCATTTGCTTTTGGCTAAAGAAGATAGGCAGAAGTGACAGTGTGACAGTTCTGAGCCTGGCCTCGAGGTATTTCATGTTTCGCCTTCCCTCTCTGGCACTCTTGTTTTTCACAATGTGACGAACATACCTGCCTAGTTTGCTGGTCCAAGAAGTATGAAGCAGATCTGAAGCCAGTCGCAGGTTGGGGTCAGCAACCCAAAAAATAAAGGATTGTTGTTTCAAGTCGTGTTTTAGAGTAATAGTGTTTTGGAGTACTTGGTTCCCAGAATTAGTGTTGTGATAGCTGACTGAAACAACAGCAGAGAGAGCAATCAGATTCCTTGGTATTGGCCTGGAAGGTGCCTAACTTGATGTCTTTCAGGCAGCTCTTTGGCTATGGTTCTTAGACACATCCTTTACAGAGGCCAGCGGAGTAAGGAACCCAGAAATTGTACAGCAAGCTTGTCCAACTCAGTGCCTGCAGGCTGCATGTGGCCCTGGACAGCTTTGAATGCAGCCCAACACAAATTCGTAAACTTTCTTAAAATACATTTTTGTGATTTTTTTTTTTTTTTGGCTCATCAGCTATCATTAGTGTTAGTATATTTAATGTGTGGCCCAAGATAATAATTCTTCCAGTGTGGCCCTGGAAAGCCAAAAGATTGGACACCCCTGGTTTACAGTAAAGCATCTAGAGAACAGGTGTCAAAAGGATAAGTCTAGTGTGGCCAGTAGTCCTAGTAACAAGCTAATGATCACGGAATAAGAGATCTCTGTGTTGTAACTGGATTGCATTTGCTTTTGTTGTTTATCTTATATAGTTTATTTTTTAATTATACAAGTGATTCATTAATACATTCTCATCATCAATTTTCAAATAATTCAAAATAAACGTTTTAAAACCCAAGTTCCCCTTCCCTCTCCATTTCCATTCCCATTCCTCACTTACCCTTCACACTTACCCAGCCATCCCCTACCTCTACTTTTCCACAGATAACCATAAATGAAAACTTAGCCTTTAAGCTTCTAGACCTTTTTCTGTGCATGTATATACATATACTTATATACTAAATATAAATATGATTATATAATATGCGTATTAGGTATAATGCTTTTATACTTCTTTTATCTGTGTTATTTCTCCCTTTGTTTTCTTCAATATATAGGAAAGTGTTTTTTGTTTTTTTTTTAATTATTTCATCCTTGGCTGGGTGCTGTGGCTACATCTGTAATCCCAGCACTTTGGGAGGCCAAGGTGGGAGGATCACTTGAGCCCAGAAGTTGGAGACCAGCATGGGCAGGAGGATCACTTGGTTCGAGACCCCATCTCTACAAAGAAAATAAAATAAAGTCAGCCAGGTGTGGTGGTGTGCATCTGTAGTCCCAGCTACTAGGGAGGCTGAGGCAGAAGGATCACCTGAGCCCAGGAGTTTGAGGTTGCAGTGTGCTGTGCTCGCACCACCCCACTGCAGCCTGGGTGACAGAGTGAGATCCTGTCTCAAAAATAAATAAATAAATAAAATAAAACAAATAAAATTCCATTCTACCTTCAGTATAACAGACCAACCAAAGGAAGAGATTTTCCTGCTTTTATATCAGAATGTTAAATGGTAGGAGGACCCTTTAGGGCTCAGTATGGGGGTGCAGTGGCAGTGACAATCAACATGAGGAACAGAAGAGAAAACAAAATTCTGAGTAGAGGCTAGTAAGTCATTTCCCTCTCTCAACCTTTCAACTTCACGTTCTCAGGCAAATCCTTGGAAGTACTGAGTTATGTTTGATTAAGTGAGGTAATTTTCCCTTATGACATTCCAAGTCCAAGAGAATGTAGTGGAAGCTATGCTGCCTTTTCTGACCTAACCTCTGGAGTCACATACCATCACTTCTGTTGTATTCTCTTGGTCACACAGATTGATCCTAATTCATTGTGGAAGAGTACTACACAAGGACATTCATACCAGGAGATGAGGATCACTGAGGGCCATGTTGGAAGCTGGTTGCCACAAGGGCATTTACTCAGTAGTGAATTTTGAGTGATTGACACTATCTTTAAACAGATTCCCTCATCACAGGTCAGCAGATTCCCTGGTTGCCAAATACTAGGTAGACTTTACAGGAACAGCCAGAAAAATCTCTTCTTTGCCTTTCTTTAAAGAACGAGTAGTTCTGGACAACTCTCCAACAGCAATATTCTGTTGTTAACCTATCTTATTTGTGAAGCACTATATCCAACCCTCCATACAAAGATTATTCATACTTCTCCCACGCTATGGGTCTGCAAAGTAATCCAGTCCCCCAAACTCACTTTTTGTTTTAGATATTGTTTTGCCTTTTAGAAATCAGAATCTTTTAAATATTGTATATTAAATAAGTTACAAGAGGGCTGCCTTAGAATAACCAAACCCAAAATAATTTGGAGGGCATGGGTTAAGTTTCCAGAATCCAATGAAGTAATTTTGAGGATGAAATTTGAAACATCCAAAAAATAAATAGAAATTTGTACCATCGAATGCAATCAGATAAATAAGCAGAAAGTATAAACTTTTCAATATAGAAGGAAGTTAAATCCTATGAGTTGCATCTATAACTTCATCCTGTAATGTTTTCTACTAAAATAAGTACTTAAAACTATTTCATAATTTCAGTTATTGATATATTTTAAAAGCAACCTTCTCTTTAAAATAGTGCTGTAGTTGGAAGAATTCTCTTAATTCTGTCTACAAATTAATTACTTTTAAAGAATATTTTATTGCTTTATTAAAATATTTGAAATGTTTAAGATGAATTACACTTTATTCGAGTTAGAATTTTTAATGTTTTTGATGTTGAAACCAACTTTTGTTAGCAGATTTCACTTCCATATCTTTATCATAAGTTTAAAAGTCAAAATTAAGTGAACATCAAGCCATTTTATTAGTCATTTAAAATCATGTTAATCTTTCTTTTTTTTTTTTTTTTTTTAAAGATGGAGTTTCGCTCTTGTCACCCAGGCTGGAGTGCAGTGGCACAATCTCGGCTCACTGCAACCTCTGCCTCCTGGGTTCAAGCAGTTCTTCTGCCTCAGCCTCCCGAGTAGCTGGGATTAAGGTGCCTGCCTCCATGCCCAGAGAATTTTTGTATTTTTAGTAGAGACGGGGTTTCACTATATTAGCCGGGCCGGTCTCGAACTCCTGACCTCATGATCTACCTGCCTCGGCCTCCTAAAGTGCTGGGATTACAGGTGTGAGCCACCATGCCTGACTGATCAGATTAATCTTTACAGTTTCTGAATAAAATCATTTACTTAATAAAATTCAGGATAAATGCTATATTAGCTAATTAAAGCACATATAAATATCTTCCATGGGAAACTACTCGAAACAAACTTTCGTATTTGTGCCGCATAATTTTTAAAGGCATTTAACTGGCCGGGTGCAGTAACTCACGCCTGTAATCCCAGCACTTTGGGAGGCAAAGGCGGGCGGATCACCTGAGGTCAAGAGTTTGAGACCAGCCTGGCCAACGCGATGAAACCCCGTCTCTACTGAAAATACAAAAATTAGCCAGGCATGGTGGCCAGTGCCTGTAATCCCAGTTACTTGGACAGCTGAGGCAAGAGAATCGCTTGAACCCGGGAGGCAGAGGTTGCAGTGAGCCAAGATCATGCCATTGTACTCCAGCCTGGGCGACAGAGAGAAACTTGGTCTCAAAAAAAAAAAAATTTTTTTTTAATAAACAAATAGAGGCATTTAACCCTGACTCTCCCATGCTTCTAAGTTAAAATGAGTTACTGGAAATGTGTCTTTCCATTCACTTTCAGATCACCCTAAAAAAAAAGAAAAACCGAAAGGCTTTCCCATTATTTATTTGCTTTCTTTTCTGGCAGTTTTTCCTGTTTGTCAGCTAACTACTGTAGGTAGCATTATTTTAATAATAGTAAATAATAATGACAACAACAACAATATTGACCTCTATTCATATACTGCTAGGTTTTCTGTGTTTATTCATCTTATGAGTATTATCACCATTTCATAGTTGATGCTGAAACTAAGAGAGGTTAAGTCACTTGTTCAGAGTTATACAGTAGGTGGCAGGGTTGGATATTGAATCCATCTCCAGAGCCTGTACTCTTAAGCAGTAGTACAGCATATTATTAAAATGCTGTTTTCATTTTATTTTCTTTTTTTTTGTTCTGTTTTTGTTTTTGTTTTTGTTTTGAGATAGGGCCTCTCTCTGTTGCCCATGCTGGAGTGCACTGGCTTCACTCTCCAGAGTGGCTGAGACTACAGGTCATCATGCCCAGCTAATTTTTATTTATTTATTTATTTATTTTAGAAAGAGGATCTTGCCACATTGCCCAGGCTGGTAGTCAAACTCATGGCTTCAAAACATCTTCCTGCCTCATCCTCCCAAAGTGCTGGGATTACAGGTGTGAAGCATGGCACCCAGACTAAAATGTTTTTTTGACATGTAAGGCAGTCCTGCTCCAACTGTTCATGTCCAAACGTAGAGAATGAAAAGCATTGCTCTCTATTTCACCTCTTGTCCTATTCCTCCAAATTCACAGGGGGCTGCTGTCGCCTTGTATTCTGACTCACCTGTTCGGCTTTTTTTTGTTTGTTTTTTCTTGAGACAGGGTCTGTCTGTCACCCAGGCTACAGTGCAGTGGTGCAATCACAGCTCACTGCACCCTCGGCTTCCCGGCTTCAGGTGATCCTCTCATTTCAACCTCCCAAGTAGCTGGGACCACAGGTGTCTGCCACCATGCCCAGCTAATTTTTGTATTTTTTGTAGAGACAGGGTTTTGTCATGTTGCCCAGGCTGGTCCTGAACTCCTGGGCCCAAGTGATCTTCCCACTTTGGCCTCCCAAAGTACAGGCATGAGCCACCATGCCAGGTGTGTTTGGCCTTTATGTTCTGCCTAACATGCCAGGCATTGCCAAAGTGCTTGGGTGCTTCTGACCATGTTCTTTATATCCTACTCTCCAGACATTCCCCTCAGAATTAGATGCCAACTAATTCTCTCTACTCCAGCCTGTGGCTTCTGTATCCTGCTCTCCCTGTTTCCCTTCTTGTCTGCCACATTAAGTTTGACCAGACTTTCCATATCTGCTGGTGACACTGACTACTAAGCAGAAGAGAGAGAGAGGAATTTAAAGCCAGGACAAGAAGCCAATCAATATGGAAGGTAAAAGGGTCATAGAAGGACCATGATTAAAATGTGAATACCAGCCAGGCGGTGGAGGCCCACCTGTAGTCTTAGCTACTCAGGAGACTGAGGCAGTGGGATCCCTTATGCCCAGGAGTTCTGGGCTGTAGTGTTCTATGCCCATCAGGTGTCTGCACTAAATTCAGCATCAATATGGTGACCTCCCAGGAGCAGGGGACCACCAGGTTACCTAAAGAGGAGTGAACCAATCTAGGTCAGAAACAGAGCAGGTCAAAACTTCCATGCTGATCAGTAGTGAG